AAGTGGCCCGGGGATAGCAGACCCCGAACCCATGTCAGTGTGTTGCGGTCAGGATCCCCACTGACTGCGCGGCAGACGGACTGCTGCGGATAGGGCCCCGGGCTGGAACACAGTGGAGTGGGTGGGCCTGTGTTCCCCCCTGCCACCCCGCGCCGGGTGGCAGTCTCTCCTCCTCCTTGTCCAAGGGGCCTGGGCCTCTGACTGACGATTGGTTTGTTCCCTGCCCTGACCTAGGGCCTGGGCTAACCCAAACTGACCCAGCTCCTGCTCCAAGGCCTGGGCCGCTGACTGACTATTGGTTTTCTGCCCCGCCCTGACCCAGGGCCGGAGCTGTTAATTGTGTGCTCAGTCCCTGCACAAAGGCTGAGCTCTGAACTATCATTTGTGTGCTTAGCCCCTACCCAAAGGGTCTGGGCCCTAACTGTTATTCGCTTTGTAGCGGGGCGGCCTGGCTCCCAGGCGCCCCAGGAAGGGACGAGCCCCACCCCAGAACTACTACATGGCCCCCTCAAGGATTGAACTCACAACCCTGGGTTTAGCAGGCCAATGCTCAAACCACTGAGCTATCCAGCCCAGCCCCAACTTTTTCCTTTTAATTTTTATAACAAACATATTTTTGGTCGCAGGGCCTGTAGTACCACACCTCCCCCTGCCAGCGGTGGCTGCCCTTCTTGACTCGCACTTCCCTCCTCCACCCATGCTGCAGGGGGAAGCGAACCTCCTCCGCCATGGCGATCCGTCTGCCCAGGACTTCGCCCTTTGCTGACGCACTGAGCGGGGCGGCTGGAGCCTCCAGCCAGCTGTCCTCAGCCATTTCTTCCTCCTCCTCCTCCAGACAGGCGGCTGGGGACTCCGGCTCCAGCGGGGGGGCTGTGCTCCAGAGACTCCGATTCCTCCTCCCCTGGGTTGCCCCCGTCCTGCAGGTCTAAGCTGCTGTCTTGCAGGATGGTCTCCCCCAGGACAGGCAGCAACTCGGGGCTGACGAAGAGCAAGGAGGGTGTCTGGCTGTAGGAGCTGGAGTTGTTCAGGGAGGGGGTCTCGGAGCAGTCAAGGGTCGAGATGTCCGGGGAAGCCTCCAGAGAAGATTTGTCATTCACCAGCTGGGAGTTGTCCATCTCGTAGAGATCTCCGGTCCCTGGGTCTCTAGCCAGCGACTCAAAGGGCTCCAGGGGCTCTTCGCTCAGGAAGAGGAGGTCTGCCAAGGGAACAGCGATGGCAGAGGCGTCGCCCAGGCAGTTCCCAGCGGTGTCCGGGGACAAGACGGAAGCTTCCTGGCTTCCTTGGCAGCAACAAGGGCTGGGTTCAGTATCTAGGGGTTCCGTTTCAATAACACAATGCAAAACCGGCTCGAGCCCCCACCCAGTCACCTGGGACAATTACATACCACCCCCTGGGCGCCTCTAAGAGGCAATACTTCCCCTCTCACAAGCACGGAGTCTGAGTGTAGCAAAATCCTTTTAATAAAAGAAGGAAACTTACTTGGGGGTGGATCTTTTGCTCATGGTTTGTGTTATGAATCCTGTTTGTGGTGTTTCCCCAACATAATGCCGCATTGTTTCCCCCCTTTATTAAAAGGATTTTGCTACACTCAGACTC